GCCAAAATGGAAAGATGAAATAAATAAAGAGCTTATCTATTACCCAACGAAAAGTTTTTGGACCTGTAGTCCGTACACCAAACAGAGTAAGAACAATGGGACACAAATGGGTATATTTTGCGCAAAAGAAACGAGAAAAATGAGTTGTGAGATATAAAGCAATATTTGTTGCACAAGGTTTTACCCAAAAGCCCAAAATTGATTATGAAGAAACATAGTCTCCGGTAGTTGATGCAATTATATTCAATTATTTTATAAGTTTAACAACATATGCAAAACTGGAGATGTGTCTAATGGATGTATTTACCGCTTATTTATATGGTTCACTTGAAAATGATATTTATATGAAAATCTCAAAAGGGTTTAAGGTGCCAGAAGCACAAACTCCTAATTCTCGTGAATTATATTCGGTAAAATTAAATAAATCTTTGTATGGATTGAAACAATATGGTAGGATGTGGTTCAATTGTTTAAGTACGTTTCTTTTAAAAGATGGCTATAAAAATGATCCATTAAACCCATGTGTATTCATAAAAAGATCCGGATCAGAATTTGTGAGAATAGTTGTTTACGTATATGATTTGAACATAATTGGAACTCCAGGAGAATTGGAAAATGTCACTTCTTGTTTGAAAGAAAAATTTGAAATGAAAGATCTTAGTAAAACGAAATTTTGTTTGGGTCTTCAAATTGAGCACACCAAAAATGGAGTTTTTGTACATCAATCTAGTTATCTAGAAAATGTGCTTAAAAAGTTTTATATGGATAACTCACATCCGTTGAGTACCTTGATGGTAGTAAGGCATTTAGATGCCAAAAAGGACCAGTTTCGGCCTTATGAAAAACATTAAAAACATCTTGGTCCCGAAGTACCATATCTTAGTGCTATTGGTGCACTAATGTATCTTGCTAATAATACGAGACCTAATATATCTTTGTTGTAAACTTATTAGCAAGATATAGTTCTTGCCCAACAAGAAGACATTGGAATGGAGTTAAACACATTTCTTCGATATCTTCGAGGTACAATGGATATGGGCTTATATTATTCAAATTCATCAAATGAGGAGTTTAATTGGTTATGCAGATTGCTGGATATTTGTCTGATTCACACAAAGCTCGATCCCAAACAGGTTATTTATTCACTTGTGGAGGTACCGCAATCTCTTGGCGTTCTGTTAAACAAACTTTAGTTGCTTCTTCTTCTAACCAAACAGAGATTATAGCAATTCATGAGGCAAGCCGTGAATGTATTTGGTTAAGAAATTTAACTCATCACATTCGTGAGAGTTGTGGTCTAACTTCTAATAGGGACGCTCCAACCATATTATATGAAGATAATGCGGCTTGTATAGCCCAATTCAAGGAAGGGTTTATCAAAGGAGACAGAACTAAACATATATCACCAAAGTTTTTTTTTTACTCATGATCTTCAAAAAGAGCGTGGCATCAACATCCAGAAAATTCAATCAAGTAACAACTGGTAGATTTGTTCACTAAAGCGCTCCCTAATCCAAATTTGAAAACATGGTACAAATATTGGAATGCGACGCTTTAAGGAAATCAAGTGATGTGATGATCAGGGGGAGTTGGAAACACATTGTACTCTTTTCCTTAGCTATGTTTTTCCCACTGGGTTTTCTTAGCAAGGTTTTTAACGAGGCAATTGTTCCAAATATCTATTATTAATCATGTACTCTTTTTCCTTAACAAATGGTTTTTCCCATGAGGTTTTACCTATTAAGGTTTTAACGAGGCGTGATACAATCGTCATTCAAGGGGGAGTGTTATGAAATATTAGTTTGTGAATGACCATTGGATTCTCCATTTCTCCCATAACTCTCCATCATTATTTAGCATTAGTAACAACCATTTTAATGTGTTTTATGAATGTAATAATACACCATCATAATGTGCATTCATATTATAGTTTTATTTGGATAGTATAAATAGTGAGCCATATGTATTAGAAACTTGATGATTTCATCACAAGTATTGGAATAAAAGTTCTCTCTACTCTCATGTCTTTCTTTACTTTATAATTTATCTTGTTATTTGATCATATTTTATAACAGGATAGTGTTTTTGAAAAATAGTTACCAACTAATGGTACTTTGAAAATTATGTATTTATTATTTAAAGAGAAAAGAAAATGGCCGGTCAATGCTTAAAATGGAAAGAATTATCCTCACAAGCATTTCTTGTCTTTCCCTCACAAACCTCTTCTTTTTTCTTTCTCTCATGTGATCTTTTCCCTGTGACTTTGTGATTTTGTCGTTGCCCCACCATTCCTAATGGGTGTCTCTTCATCAGATGTCATTGGTTCACCGTACCTTAATCATTTTTGACTCATCTACTATCATGTTTGTGCCTTGAAGGTTGACGAATATAGACGCAATATTCGTGCAACTGTAAGAGAGATAAAACACCTCTAGCATGTTTTTGCAGTACTGATAGATGAAGTTTTATAACACTTTGTTTTTGTATTTTGATAAAAGATTAAATTAAATAAGAATAATTTTATCGTCTTTCCCTCACAAACCTCTTCTTTTTTCTTTCTCTCATGTGATCTTTTCCCTGTGACTTTGTGATTTCGTCATTGCCCCACCATTCCTAATGGGTGTCTCTTCATCAGATATCATTGGTTCACCGTACCTTAATCATTTTTGACTCATCTACTATCATGTTTGTGCCTTGAAGGTTGACGAATATAGACGCAATATTCGTGCAACTGTAAGAGAGATAAAACACCTCTAGCATGTTTTTGCAGTACTGATAGATGAAGTTTTATAACACTTTGTTTTTGTATTTTGATAAAAGATTAAATTAAATAAGAATAATTTTATCGTCTTTCCCTCACAAACCTCTTCTTTTTTCTTTCTCTCATGTGATCTTTTCCCTGTGACTTTGTGATTTCGTCGTTGCCCCACCATTCCTAATGGGTGTCTCTTCATCAGATATCATTGGTTCACCGTACCTTAATCATTTTTGACTCATCTACTATCATGTTTGTGCCTTGAAGGTTGACGAATATAGACGCAATATTCGTGCAACTATAAGAGAGATAAAACACCTCTAGCATGTTTTTGCAGTACCGATAGATAAAGTTTTATAACACTTTGTTTTTGTATTTTGATAAAAGATAAATTAAATAAGAAATAATGTATATATTATGATAGTTTTCAACTTTTTTTTTTTAAATAATTTTCTAAAAGGACTCGATACAATAAGAAACAATTATAGGGAAAATGATGTGTAAAGGTAAGTATCAAAATTGTCAAAAGAAAAAAAATGTAGAGAAAATGATACAGAAACATAAATACATAATTAAGTTTGTGTGTGTGTGTTTTTTTTTCATCAAAATTATATTTTTGCATAATAGGTTATTAAAGTACCATTTTACTGTTTAAACAGGAAAACCATCCAAATTAAATCTGGTAATCATGTAAGCTTAGATTACATGACATGACACACAGTGCACATAAGTTATACATACGAAAAATTAATGTTACTTTTTTTTTTTTGTTGATTGACAAACAAGGGCAACTAAAAGAAAATTATGAAACCTTAGGGATTTATTTAAAAAAATGTTATTTGCAAAGATTCCACTCTCGTCTCCTATTTAGTCCACTGTTTGAACCTTGCTTCTCCTCATTGCTAAAACCCTAAAAAGGTTGAATTCAAGAACAAAATTTATATTTCCGTTACCACCTTTTGTCAATAATATTTTACTTAAACAAAATTATCTTCCAACATTTTGCTAAGCTAACAACTGATGAATACAATTCCAAAAATGAGAAGGAAAAGAAAACAGAAATAGAGCACACGATAAATGTATGGTCAAATTACAATTCCATAATAGTCAACCACTCATAATAAGTCAAAGATTGTGTTCTAAACTTGGAATTATTACCACAAGTATTCAGAGAGCGAGCTAAAGACAATACCTACTAAACGCATCAACTCAAAAGAGACCAAAACAAGCCACGGTTTCTTTTTTTCCTTTTTGATCAAAAATCAAGTGACCCTGACCCCATCGATGGAGGAAGTCCCGAAAGAGACAGATGGTCTCTGTGGATCCTTTCACCCGAGTTTTGGCCTCCTCCTAAAGATTCCACTTCTTGCTTCCCGAGTTGTTGCACATCCTCAGGAGATAGTATCTTGATATACCAGACACTATTTACAAATGCCCTGTTGCATACACACATATATTTCAATAAATCTTCAACTAATTTATAAGTTTCAATAAATAAAGCGACTACTTACTCCCAAGGGTCGTCTCCAAGGAGAAGAACATCATTCTCCCTGTCAACGAATACAAGCTGCCAGCCTGATCTTTGAGGGTCTTCAAGCAAACCCTCGATCCCAAACATTTCACCCAATTCCTCACGCAGCTCATGGTAGCTGTTGAATCGGCTCATGTCCAATGACCTCCCTACACACCCCGATTTATAAACCTACAAAACACACGCATCAAACATTTCACTTCGCTCAAATCCATCTACGTCTTTACTTTTTACAAAATTAGCAATGATACCTTCACAAATGTCCGGTTGCGATTAGGGGTAGTTTGGTCGATTTGTCCTCCTCCTCCTCCTCCTCCTGTAGGTGTTAACAACTCGGAAGAGTCTTGCATGTAGTAAGGCATTGGGGACAAATCGGTGGTGTCGATTGTTGGAAGTAGAAGCCCGGATGAATCGATGTTAATTTGATTGAATAAATTCTGATTTTGTGTCGCATCCAAACTTGAAGATTCCTGATCAATGGAATTCGAACTACCTCCGTCTTTCCCTTGAAAGGGTGAAGTCGAACAAGTGTTGACTTGTGGTTGACCAAATTTCGATACCCACGATTGTGTTTGACTTTGACCTTGACCGGTTCTTGAAAAATTTGGATCGGAGACTAACATGGTGGTTTGAGGGGCGATATTGGAAGTGAATTTGGGATCCATGAAGTCTGTCTTTGGAAACGAAGGAGAGGGAATACTCGATTGCATCATGTTGTACGTCTCCGTGTATGGATTTTGCTGATGTTGTTGACTCTCTTGGTTCTGAGTTGACCGTGTTAAATTCTCCAACATTTGACCATGACTATGAAGAAATGACGGATCTACCCTTTGCTGTGGGATGATTGACATTGACTGATGAGTTATTGGGGTGGTGGAGTGTTGAAGGTATTGAACAGGCTGTTGAAATTGTAAGAGTTGTTGTTTCAAAGCATCGCCACTTCCTACACCCTGTAACCCTGCTGCTAATGCAGCTTGATACTGGTGGTTGAGGTTGGTTTGGAGAAATGACGGATCTACCCTTTGTTGCATCCATGGAAACATTCCACCAGATTGAAAGTTTAGAGAATTAAGTGCTTGCTCACCTGTTTCCCCTCTCAACCATGCCATTCCATTGACTGCATCATCTCTGCTGTCTCCTGAAACAAATAAATAACTTCAAATTGAATACAAAAAAAAGATTTGGAATTGAAAGAAAGATTGATAGTTTTATACCTTGAAAAGATGAAGCTCCAGGGTACCATGGTCTTTTCAACCGAAGAGGAAACAAAGATGGATACATGGGAAAAGTTGTTAATGGTTCGATTTCCCATAATGACACACGTGGCTGCCTTTCCCCTGCTGTTGATTCATCCCATCCAACCTATAAATAAAATAACGGTTGAATGGAATGGAATGGAATGGAATAAGAAAGGTAATGGAATCAGTAATTACCTTGACAGATCGCCAATGAGAATTGGGCCAACGAGTAGGATCTAAATCACCAATGCCAGTAATTGTCCCCATGTATCTATATTATATATTTATATTTATACAAATCATTCCCATGTAACATTAACATAGTACAAAACAAACATAAAGTTTTGACTTTCATATGTTGTTGTGTAGAAACAAGAAAATTGGGAAAGAAATAAGAATACCTGCGGACACTTGATTCTTCAGTTTCAAACAGCATACGGAAACGCATCCCAACAGAAACACGCGTATGATACACAGCTTTCACATATTTCGAAAGGGGAATCACAAATTCCGAAGGACTAGCCCTGAATGGAATTAGAAAGTCAAAAACCAAAACAAAATACTAAATCATAAATTATTTAAATTCCACCTTGGATTATAGAAGATTGTGAAGCAACTGTTGGTTGCAGCTGCATGAGCTGCAGCTGCAAGAAGCCCGATATGCATACTGTCACTTGATAGAACAGATGATGGCATCACAGTTTGTGGTCGACTTGCTCTCCTGATTCCCAAAAGAAGCTGATTTTTCTCATTCCTAATTTTCATATCAACAGTAAAAGTCAAAATTCAAATAGTCAACTGCAATATCAAATTGAATATTTGAAAATTTGAGAAATTACCAGATGAAAAGAACAGAGTCTCCTGCAACGAGTCTTTTTGCACTGACAAACACACTCCACCCTGTAGTGAGAAGATGGCGTTTCGGCTGCCCTGAATGTGAAGGAGAAGAAAACATGTAATGATTCAAGATTCAAGAATGAGAATGAGAATCTTTACATTTTTTTGTAATATTTTGCTTTATATAAATGAGAAGGGATCCAAATATCCAATACCTACCCCTGAAAATGTGTCTGAACTTCCACTCAACATCATGGAGATCTCTTGCAATAAGTTCTTGAGCAGGTGGTTGTTGAGAGAAATCCTGAAGGAAGAAAAAAAGAAGATGATTTAATTAATCAAGAAAAATGTGTAGGTTTTAAGGTTAAAATAGAAGGAATAGAATAATACAAGTGGAGGGAAAACTTTTTCAGCAGCACGTCTAGGAACAGAGAAGCCACCATGGGTGCTTGTGTCACTAGCTGTTAATGTCTTGCAGAAGTAATTAGTTGGTTGTCTACTTGGAATTCCCAACTCAACAGGAAGAAATGTATCCTTCTGCTCTTGCTGACATCATATTACACAAAAAAAAGAAAAAAAAAATTAACTTTTTTAATCCTCCAAATGGCGAATACATCAACATTGGTAATTTTTTTTACTTACGGGTGTCAATGGCTGCAATGTCATTTGAGCATACACTTCATCTGTCTCAACATCTGCCTGAAATTGGAACATGATAAGTCTTTCTTTGACCTCTAAGTTATACAAACAAGACGTTAAGATCATGTATATTTGAGGATATGAAATTATGAATGAAAACACACATGCATTGTGACATTGTGGAGTTGGCAGATCAATTGAGGAGGAAGGCTTGGGTAGTTGGGAATGTGAGAATCGATTTCTTTATTTGTAGTTGCAGCAACCTGGTTTTCATTTTCAATTAGATAGATTATAAGTAATCGGTCATCAAAATTAAGTAAATATATGCACAATTTGGGGGAACAAGAAGTATATAAGAAGGAAGAAGGAAGAACCTGTTCACTATGACCCTGAGGGAAATAAATTACACGGGAGCCTACTGTCGGTAGGGAAACAAGAGGGCCTGCACAAGCATGCCATAGCTCCGAATTCAAGCTTTTCTTTTCTCCTTCAATAAGCAATAAGAAACAATCAATAAATTAATCCCAATAGACACAGCTTTAGGTTAAAATACTTGATTAATCAAGAGTATACCACACGGACATTAATGTATACAATATATATACACGTACGTAAGAAGAATCCAAGAAAAGGACACTTACAGACATGTAAAGTCAAAAACAAAAACAAAGGAGTTGGAAGGAGATAGATAGATATAGATATGATATATATATACCTTCTTGAGGCTGCTGACCAGACCCTGATGTTGAAAGCTTCATATTATTTTATCTAAATCTTAACTTATTATATAAATATGTGTATTATTAATTAACTAATTTCATAAGCATGAGCTAAACGAATCCTCAGTGCAGCAGCTTCTCGGGGCTTAACGATCGTCGAATCCTAAACCCCTAAAAACTGCTGAATCAACATTCACTCCTTTTAATTATCAGCTCAATCGCTTCCTCCAAAGTCTAAAACACCTAACCTTCACATGCATTATTCCAAAGCTAAAAATCCCCCCTCCCATAGCTAAAAAGCAAAACCCTAACTAACCGAGCTCAGAAAACCAGTGGTTGTTCTGAAACATCGCCATGAGTGAACTTTTGTCCCCGATCGCTATCGAAAAAGTTGAAAAAAATAGTGAAAAGAAAGGAGAGAGAGTGGAGCATGAAGGGGTTATATAGGGGGTGGATATTGGATCCCGATCCGACCGACCATAGTCGACCTGAAGCAGAGAGTAGAGTAGAGAGAAGTGGAAGTGATAATGGAGGAAAAATGGATCAGAAGCGTAGGGAAATCCGTACCTGGAGATGAAGACCGTCGATTATAGAGGAGTGAGATGACAGGAGGCATGTGCCACCATCCTTCAGTGGTCGTTGTCAGAGTACGGACCTTCCGATTATAAAATTAAATAAATTCCTATTTTCCATAGATTTAAATAAAAAAGATAAAGAGTATATAATCATTTTATTTAATTTTTTTAATATTGCTCTTTATGGCAAACCTATTTTGTAGGCCTATAGCAAATCATTTTTAATTTTTAATTTATAATATAATTGAGATTTGAGAGGAAATGCTAAAAAGGCATAAGTTACATTCCTAATCTTTTGAAAAGATTATTATAGAAAAGTGTTTTCCACTAAATATTTTACTTTCTAATTTCAGTCATTTTGAGTTTTGACGGTTCCTTCGTATTGATTCATGACCAAGGAGCGTTAGAAATTGGGTAGGGTATAAAGATATAGATGGTTTGGTAATTTAAGGATTTCTGGGTAATTTAGGGTGCGTTTAGTTGCGGAAAAATAGACCGTTTTCCGAAAAAAAAATTCAAGAAAAATGAGAATTTTGAAAACGCGTTTAGTTCGTCTATTTTTCTAAATTTTTCACGGAAAACGAAAATTTTCCGTTTTCTAAAATTACAAAGAAGATGGAAAATTTTGGAAAACTGATAATCATTATTTTCCATATTTTTCTAATTCCAAATTTTTTTTATGAACACACACCCACTTCACCCCATCTACTTCTACCAACCCCCACCTTAACACCCCCCCCCCCACACACACACACACACATACATATCCACCCACACACACACGCACACACACATACATACCCACCCACACACACACCAACCCACCCACACACACATACATACCCAGCCACACACACACCCACCCGCACACGCACACACACACATACATACCCATCCACACACACACGCACACACACACCAACCCACAAACACACACACATACATACCCACCCCCCCACACACCCACCCGCACACGCACACACACACACATACATACCTATCCACACACACACACAATCACACACATACATACCCACACACACACCCACCCACAAACACACACTTACACATCCATACCCACACACCCACCCACAAACACACACACACATACACATACATACCCACCCACACACACAACCACCCACAAACACACACACACACACACACCCACAAACACACACACACATACACATACATACCCACCCACCACAAACACACACACACACATACACATACATACACACCCCCCACACACACCCACACACAAACACACACACACACAAACACCCACACACACACCAACCCACAAACACACACATACATACCTACCCATACACACACACACACCAACCCACACACACATACATACTCACACACCCACACCTACCACCACCCCCACCCTCACAGACACACACACCCACACACACACAAACCTACACCTACCCCCACAAACACACATACACACACAAACACACACTCGCACCCCCACACACCCAACACCACCACAACAATCATCGACCTACCATCACCACCACCACCACTAACCCATCACTAGCACCACCACCATCACCACCACTGACAAAATTGACGCCGCCACCACCATCGCCTGTCATCACCACCACCGCCGCCGACCCGCTACCGTCACCGCCCCCACCCACACCCTACTACCACTACCGTTTTTTAAAAATGAAAACCGATAGAAAAATAGACATCTAAACACGTTTTCTAATTTTCTAAAACTGAAAATGAAAAATGAATAAGTTTAACTAAACGCGTTCTCTAAATTTTTCAATGAAAAATGAAAACGGAAAATGAAAATTGAAAAGGGAAAACAAAAAACAGAAAATGAAAATTGTTTTTCTGTAACTAAACGCAACCTTAGGAGTCGAGTAATTTCATTTTTCATATTGATATTTTCATTTATGTTTGTGTTTCTATAAACTTAATATGTGATAATCTTTAGTGGTATTTTGCCGGATATAAATATTTTGGGGGGTTGAATTCTAAAAAATAGACACGAAAAATCGAATTTTCAAATATGCACATGGATTCCGCGGAGGTGAGCTATGAGGGTCCGCATAATCAACTTAATCTCCGAATAATTGATGTGACACAAAAAAAAATCTAAATAACCATTCCGTGGAGCTACCTCCGATGAATGAACTCATTACTCCGAATAATTGATTCGACACAAAAAAAAAAATCTAAAGAGTCATTCCGTAGAGCTACCTCCGATGAATGAACTCATTATTCGGAGGTAGCTCCGTGGAATGGTTCAGAAAAAAAATCCCATCGATTCATTAGAGCTTATACTCATACTACGGAGCAAAAGTTCATTCCCCGGAGGTAGCTCAGCAGAATTATTCTTAAGAAAAAAAATTGCCACATTGATTCATCGGGGCTTTTACTCATTCCGTGGAGCCCTTGGAGCTCACCTTTGCGGAACTTATGTCTATATCTGGAAATTCGATTTGTTGTGTCTATTTTTTGGAATTCACCCCCAAAAAATCTTAATATCCGACAAAATTTCATCTTTAATAGCACTTTCAAATTTAAGCACAAAATTGAAAACATTGTTTATCGGAAAGTACACGTTCAAAATTTTAAGAAATGGTCAAACTGGCAATAATATAAGTGTATGTACTGATACATATGAAACATGGATAAGATTGACATAACTTGTGGTATTCTAGAGATAAAATTCGGTTTTTGGAAATAAATGTCAAGCAACTTTAGCTATTTGGCAAAACTTATCAAACGAGTCAAGGAAAATGGGTTTATGTTGGCACCTGATTGGGATGTTAGGAAACATGATTTCTGGAGAGCATGATAGTCTTCAACCATACCCAAAACCTTCCTTGTTTCCATTATTTCTTTATTGTTGTCAAGTTTATCCATTGAACTTGTAACCGTCATGGGCTCTGCCTTTTGGGTATTCAAAGGGGATTGACTCGAACCTTTCGTTTTGCTTAGGATCAAACATGTCTTATATATAAATTTGCACTCAACATCACCTAACATATATGAGATCACACTTTTAGCCTCTAATTACACACATTCTAATTATAATTACATTAAATGGATTGTGACAATAAATTCATCACAGTTTTTTATAATACAACATAATGATACTAAATTTGTTGCGCTTTTAATGAGGGAGCTTGCAACATCTTCGGTACCTAATATCAATCATAAAGAAAAAAAAATCGTTAGCATACGCATTAAGGTTGAACTAAAACAACGTACTTTGACAATCATGATAATATGGATTTGAGAGAAAAAAAGAAATATGAGAATAAGATAGTCTAAAAGGATCTTTTAGTTATTTGAAATGAACTTATGGTTTTTGTAGTGTTATGTAACGCTCATAGATTCAGGCTAGTCAATTTAAAATTAATAAGCGTTAAAAATGACTTTTTTTATACAAGATTATTTATGATAAATAATCTTAACCAGAGTCATAGTATATGTGACAACGATTTCGTACATATAAAGAACCTTCAAATCTGACTTCGTATGAAAAGATTATGCTTCTTCGAAGTTTTGCAACACGACTCTGTGTATCATAAAAAAGTGAATTTTTGATAAATTATTTTATAACCTTAGTAATCAAAACGAAAGCCGTAGCAATCATTAAACCAATAATGTGCATATCGAGAACATCCAAATCTGACTTCGTAAGAGGAGTTATAATTTTTTGAAGTTTCAACGTAGAAGTGAGGGCACGGAAATGGAAATTCTAATCGGTTGATTGTTAGTCAAAACAATTTAAATGAGAATTGAGAATCCCATGAATATGAACCCGTCGAAAAAAATATCATCGAGAACGGGGTCCGTATGTAAGAGTTATACTTTCTGCAGCGATTTCTAATAGCCTAAACCTATCAAAAATATAAAAAATTTATAGAGTGAGAATTAGTTGTTGGAGTCTAAAGGAAAGTTTTTTTCTCGTCAAGAGATTTTTGGTGATATAAAAAAACATAAAAAACGGAGCTCATATGAAGAAGTTACACCATTTTGAAAATCTAGGGAATTGTGCACGCGAAGTGCACAATGCGCATGATGACGTGGCACCACAAGTGTCACAACTGGCATTTTAGGCTAGGAAATTCTGTCCAGATGTAATCAACTTTTGATGTATCTCGTAACTCCAAGTTTGATGTTATACATATTACTCATTCAAAAACAACTATTCAAATCAAAACTCACTCGTGGAGCCCTAAACCTAATTCAATGCACTGTATTCACTTAACTTTGGGTTATAACCCTAATTTACCAGTTTAAACTCTTATTGGACCATGATCCTCTTATTGGGACTAATGGGCCAATAAACTCTCAACTTGATAATGTTGGGTTAAGAAACCTCATTTTGGCCCTAGTTGAACCCACATTCATTAAATTATAACATTTTGGGCCATAAGACTCATCATGGGCCTTATTGGGCCGAAAACCACTATTTAATTATAGTGGGCCAAAAACCCATCTCTCTTACCTCTTTTGGGTCGTAAGCCCCTAATAAGGACCCAATGGGCCGAAAAATCTATTTTTTTGGGCTATACAAATTCGGTTGATAATCAAACTGTGCCCAACATCCAAATTTCTTTCCATTCCCTCTTCATTCTCGGTTTTTAATCAAAAAAAGAGAGAAAATATGAGATTAACTTAAGGCTTGACACATCACTATTATTTAATGGTAATCCATGCAAAGTCCCCCATACACCTAGGATGAAGATCACTAAACCACCATGTATTAACCAAACCTAATCACCTCTCTCTTCCTCTCTTCTTATTCGCAGTCGAGCCTTTCTCCACCTCACTCACTTTTCATCTTAACTCTCACTTACATCTCTTATCTCCTCTAAATGTTTAAAGAATTCATTCATTCTCCATCAAGAAATCGTGAAGTAGTGTGGGTTTCCAATAAGTTTTCCTCAAAGTTCATCCTTCTTAGTAAGTTAATTCATATTCAAGATGTTAAACTTCATCTTTATGCTAAGATATTTCATCAAAG